ACCAACGAAGGTTTTTATGGTGCATATGAAATTAGTGATTGTCATTTGTAATTTTAGATCCTTAACATATATTTTTCTTTAAAATATATATTATATTAAACGGTATTTAGTTTTTTCAAAAATATAAATATTTTATATGACTTTCGATATTTATATGCTTATTAAATTTACATTTCTCAAACACTATTCTGCATGTAATCATAAATATAAACATTTTTACATTATAAAAGTAAATAAAATTATTATGATTTATGATAAAAGTGTTATATGAATAGATGCTTACTATTTAAGGTATTGTTTATAGTATAAATAATTGGTTGTTAGATAAAATTAATACAATTTAAGCATTAATTACTTAAATATTACGTGAGTTCTTCTAATATCACTCAAAGTTCAAGTACACAGTAGATTTCAATTAAAGATTAAAAATTGTTCATATTCAATCTTTATATTCAATATAATTTGAAACATTTAAGATAATTCGCAAGAATAATAAATAAATGTAAAAGTAAATTATTGAAAAGTAAATATGCAAGAAATTAAATAGCATAAAAATAAATATAATACGTTACGAAAGATAAAACAGAAATTGATAGCGAAAATCAACTGAAATAACGATCTAACCTGCAAAGAACTTCATTGAAAATACTTGCTCCCAATTCAGTAGCGTTTTTTAGAATGTAAGTTGTAAAATTTGACAATCACCTAAATTACATTTATTTTATCTTATATATATTATTTTTTGTAACTGCTAAAGCAATCATAAAAATAATAAAAAATAAAAATTACAATTTAGAATCTTCGAATGGTTATCTTCTTGTAACTACTTCACCTTATTGACACACATTTACTTATAATTTGTACATTCTACAAAATTTTCTTAATCGTCTTCATCAATCTTTTGATGTATCATTGGAAAATCTTTTCGTGTAACTTCCTCTCGATATATCCGTGTCGACTTTCTCCAGTCTTTAAGTCTTCAATTCCTAATTTTTTCGATGTTCTTCACTTTTAATTCTTCAATTCCCAATTTGTTAATATTTTGTCTTTTCTTCGACAAACTCAACACTAACTACTCTTCTATCTCAATAATATATCTTCATCTATCACTGTATTTATTCTTTCCAATCATTCGATGATCAACCATGTTCTATTCATTCTTTCGATCTTTTTATAACTTTCGTACCAAAAATAAACTCAAATTATTTGCATGTAGGTATATCCACATGGAAAACCATGGTTGCCTAATAATCTCATGGAAAATGATACATATCTTAGTATGGTCAAATTAAAACGATAACATTAGTGGATCTCCTACTTGTACAAAACTGGAAAAAGATAGTGGTTGTGTAGAGTACCGTGATTTTTCATTTTGGTAGTGTGGTATTTATTTAGAGTGAGAGTACAATTTTCATTTTTTCTTTTCTTTTGTGTGTCCATTAAATGAAAAAAATACCTGCCATTCTTTTTTAAGATAATAAATTTCATTAAGCCTTTTCTTTTGTTTAACCTTAAAAAAAAAATATAAGCTAATATCTCATTCAGGTATAGTCACTCTCAATTTTTTTTAAATTTTATAAATAAAAAATTACTTTGATATCCTTTTATTTTCAACTCTACCTGTACATCTGCAAAATAATAATATTAAGGGGTGAAATATCTCTATCTTCTTCTTTAATTCCAAGTATATGTTTTTGAATAAAATGGTTCATCATCCTTAGACTAAGATAATGTTGCTTATTAATTCAACCATTCATTTATTATCCATACCTATATGTCACTCTTTATTGCTCACCAAGGCCACAGATAATATATAGTCCATGATGCCAACGGTTTAAGTCGAATATACTACATTGAGGCCTTTCAATTATTTACGTGTGAACTTAAAGTTTCATAATATATAGTTAACATTGTTTGTACTTGAGATGAATTCTGAAACTTTAAATAAAAAGTGGTGTTTCACATTTATGGTTATGGTTGTTATTTGGGTCAATAATGTAGGCACCTTTTTTTCAGTTCCTCCTTCATCCTAACACTAACCATACATATAATGGTAAAAAAAAAAAAAAATTATTTGATTTTTAGATAGAGGTAAAATTATTGAATCAATAATTATTTTTTATATATAACACTTTTTCGATAAATTTTTATTGTTAAGTTAAATATGTGGGTATTTTATCAAATTATATGGATTCCATATATGTAATGAGTCATCAAGGACAATGTTGAGAAGACTAAAATAAAATGAAGTTTAAGATTCCTGTGATGATTTTTACTTATTTATTTATTCATTAATATATGATTGTTTAAATTTGAAGATAAAAAAGAAATAATAAAGTTTGTGTTGGAAGTTACATCTCAATGTATCGTATCATATAATATAATTTAAATACATATTAAATTAATTTTTTATGGTAGCCAACGTGAAGTTTTAGAATAAGCTTAAAAAGAAAAGAAAAAAAGTTCACAATTTTTTTCTAAACCAACTAATATGTCTAATGTAGTCCACCTTATCACCTTTAAATAAAGTTATTATGAAATTTAACTATTCAATAAAAGAATGTGTAGTGAGAAAAGTGTTGGCATTAGTATAATGGAAACAAAATTGTGGTGATAAATGTATACGAGATTGAGGAAAAATCATCATTTTTTTTTCTCAATTCACTGTATTTAATCACGTGAAAGGATTAATATTTAAAAAGTTGACACAAGTCTGTGAATATAATGTTATCTTAATTTCTAAATTGAATCATTTATTATCATTTTAGTAACTTAATTTAATTCCTTAAAGTTCATAAACTGAAATGATATTAAATATAACAAGTAGGTGATGAGTATCAATAGGACCTAAATTATCAATTAATAAATAGTGATTAGTCATAAATAAAAAATATATAGTAAGTAAAATATTTAAATTAGTTTTTTTTAAGTTATTGCAAATTTTTTTGATTTTATAAATAATAGTTTGTAAATAAGTTGTTTTAGTAGTTTGAAATACTAGAGTCTATTTTTTATATTTATTTTATATTTTTATAATACTTAGCAAATATGCTTCCAATTTTATAATGAGGTAATCTTTTTAATCCATTAAATTGACTTTTATATATAAAAAATCTTATTTACAATGTGTTAACTTTTCTCATTTAATTTATTAGTTATTTTAATAATTAATTTTGGAGAAGTTTCTATATCAACCAAGAACCTAATGTATATGTAGACATACTTAAAAAAAAGTAGAATGGAATTTGCCATATAAAAATGTTTACTACATCAATTAATTAAATAATAATAATAATAATAATAATAATAATAATAATAATAATAATAATAATAATAATTATTATTATTATTATTATTATAATAATGTAGACATCTAAATCTGTAAAACTAAAATATTATGGAGACATACGTTGAAAGATGTTGACTTTTTACATAGATGAATAACAAAAACAAAACATTGTAACAATAAGATAAGCAACTGCAAAGAAATTGGAAACTGCCTAAAAGCTTTTAAAATAAAATGACGTAAAACTATCTCACGCTATCTAAATCTATCTCATGATTTTTAAGTGAACTTAAATCAATTAGTTTTTCAGTTTAATTTTTTAAATAAAAATAAAATATTATTTAATTAATATATATTATATTATTAATTTGAAAGAGATTTTATTTATTCTAAAATTAAGTATAAAAATAAGTTTTTAACATTTACTTTATATATAATGACTAAAATAAATTATTATTTTAAATTATTATATTATTAAAAAAATCATAATCACAAAAGGTAAATATTTAACTTATTTTTCAAATAAATAAATTTCTTTTCTCATAATTTATATTTTAAATATTATATAAAAAATAATTTTACTAATTTTAAAATAAAATATTTTTTTAATTATTAATTTATTTTTAATTAATTCTTTTTATATAGATATATTTTTTTATTTTATTTTTACTTATATCAAAATTGATTATACAATACTAGGTTAAAAAAATGATTTATTTTAAAATATAAATCAAGTTGAGTTATATTTTTTTAATTAGACTTTCATGTTGGGTCAAGCCGGTTACTAAACACCATTAATTCATTTTTCAATTTTAACAATAATCTTGTTTACTTAAATAAGATGTGTTCATAATCTTATTAAAACAAGTAATATTACACTGAAATATATAAAAAATTTAACTAAATAACCAATTGTTGTACAAATTAATACTAAATGTTTTTGAAAATTTAAGGAATGTCAATTATTTACCTGCGGGTAAATACAATTTAGAATTTAAATTTATATGTTATCATTTAAAATTAATGTGAAACTTCTTCTTGAATCAGATAATATGTTATTAATAAATAAATATAAAAATATAATTAATAACGAATTTTAATTATTGATCTTGAAAAAATATATTATTAATAAATAAATATAAAAATATATATATAAAAAAAAAATCAAATTTCACATCGTAGGAAGCTACACAATTAAGTTGACAAACCAATTATTATTTAATTGTAAATGTTAATTTTACTTACAAATAGATACAAACTCCAATGTAAATTTATTCCTTTAACTGTTGCAACCATGTTTGAATGTAAATAATGATTTCATCTTTTTTATTTTTAGATTTTTATATAGATTGAGACTCAAATAATTAATCCATACTCGTGGCCAAGACCCGTCTCTAGAATATTTATATTCAAGTGCTTAAAAATTCTGAAAAAAGTAATGAGCATGATGTAGCCATGACTGCATTTTTTTAATTAATATAAGATGATGAAAAGTCTTAGGTGATTGATACGAACTCTTAATCATTGTACGTACAAACTCTAATTTCCTGATTTTCATTATTAAATTTCTTCAATGATATAGCAACTGTTTTTGAGAAACTGCAACCTGGATCAGTGTTTATAAAAGGACCATAGAATAGAACCCGATACTAGCCAAGTCCTGTTGTGTTCATCTCCCCCATTTTTCCTCAGACCCAGGGAATTAGCAACACTAATGGATGCTAAAGTTGCCCTCTTTGTTTTGTTCACGTTTTTCGTTTTATGTTCACCCCAACCACTGGAGAGGAACCAATATGCACCATGCAAACACCTGATCCTCTATTTCCACGACATCATCTACAACGGAAGGAACGCTCCAAATGCGACCTCCGCAATCGTAGCAGACCCACAAGGTGCCAACCTAACCAAGCTGGCCACTCAATTCCACTTCGGAAACCTGGTGGTTTTCGATGACCCCGTCACGTTGGACAACAACCTTCACTCGGAACCTGTTGGTAGGGCACAGGGCTTCTACATTTACGACTCCAAAAACACTTTCACCGCGTGCCTTGGATTCACCTTTGTTCTCAATAGCACATATCATCAGGGAACCATCACCTTCGCTGGAGCTGACCCCGCCTTGAAGAAGACCAGAGACATCTCAGTCACAGGTGGCACTGGTGATTTCTTCATGCATAGAGGAATCGCCATCATTATGACCGATGCTTTTGAAGGTGAAGTTTATTTCCGCCTTCGTGTTGAGATTAAGTTTTATGAGTGTTGGTGAAGCTACAAGGTCGCTGTTATTATAGTAAATAAATACGGCTGTTTCTTTCTACAGCCCCGTCTAATAGTATGGTTTGCTTGTTGTAATAACGCCATTGGTTCTCAGTTTGAGACAATGCGTAGAACCTCTTCAGCGTGTTTTTATCTCCCGCATAACTCAACACCATGCATTTCTTCTCTCTCCATTAAGTCTTGTGTGATGATAGAGTCATGGACTCAAAAGATATTGGGTGGAGGAAATATTGGTTTTGGTGAGGATCTAAATATGTTCTAAACTCGAATAACAAGGAAAAGTTGTACTAAGATCAATGATATAAAAGTTGGTCACTATTATCTATAATATCACAACTTTCAATTTCTTCAAATCCAATCCAATTACTTCTTCATCAGATTTTTAAAGTTTTGTTGTATTGCTATCCAATTACTTACTTCAAGCTTTTGTCTTAAATATATATTTATATGAATACGTTTTTCATCTATCAATGTTAGATGGGGTTATTAATCTCCTGTAACGTAATAAATAAACTAAAATTCAGATGAACATTAAAAGGATGCATATATTTAATGTTCCACCATAACTCAAACAGAATTATCTTAAAAAATGTGGAAAAAATTGTTTTATTATTCATTTAATTTTTTAATCTAATCTATTTCATGTTTCTTAATAAATTTAGGTTGTTTTTTTTAATATAAATATATGTTGTTTTTTAAAATTTAATATTACATTAACTATTTTTTTACAAATTATATTCTTATCTTTAATTATATTTATTATAGGGAGAAGATAACAAATTATTTTGAATGGAGAGAAAATATTAATTAAATTGTATAATTTAATGATAGGTGACATAAATATTTATGTGGATATTGGGAAAATTTATGAAGATAATTTATAATATATAACTACAAACGTATGAACCACAAGAATGAAATGAATGCAAGTATATAAATAAATAAAAATTAGATTTACAAAAATATAACACTAACACTAACCATTGTATATTTCCACATCATGATTTTCAACCAAATATACACGCATATCCACAAAAAATCTTGGAAGTGACCCCATCAACCAAGAACTAGATAAATAGAGAAAATATGCGAGAATCTGGACTTTAATCGCTTTACGAAGTCCATGCAGCCATTTGGTTGAAGAAAGGTCCACCTAGATATCAATTCAAATTGAAGCCCAATTACTATGAACGGATCATCACTAATATAAGATATCACATTGCTATGTGTACCCTAAAAAATTGCTACTTAAACCAACATCTTTTCATCAAAGTATTTTTGAGAAAAATATTTTTTCACAACACAATGGAATGGCGACAAAAGATTTTTGTACCCTAAAAATATTTGTAGCCTAATTGATGTATTTATATGGGCTACCTTGCATAGGAGATCATTATTGTATCTTTAGATGAGTAATTTTTTATCTTAAAAAAAATGAAAAATATAAATTTATGGTACATTTTTAAGTAATTTATCATTAATTTTACTTTAATAAAAAAATAATAAATTTTTTAAGTTATTTGGTAAAGTAATTATTAAAAAATTTAACCAATTTATTATATCACATAAGATCTTTTTTAATAAAAATTTATTTCAAACAGTTAATATTTTATTTAATCATCTCAATCCTTATTATGGTGTGATTAATTCAGTGTAGCTTTCTCTTTATGTCCTTCTTTTCTTGATAAAGAAACAAAACAACATATTAATGATAAGAAACTCTTTTCCACAATTCCTATTCAGTACACATGCTTTTGACAAGGAAATGTGTCCTTTTTGTCCCATATATGTATGTGTTGGTGAGGTGGGTTTTAAATGCCCTTCTTCGCCACAAATGAAAGACATTTTCTCCTCCAGATTTCCACTTTTAGAACGTCAAAGTGAGCAACATTACAAATCAAAACTAAAGAGTTGGTGTATGATAACATTATGGTATATAACTTGGAGGAGAAAAATGAAGTATGATATCGTACCTGATTTGATTCTTCCAATTCTCCTTTACATATTATCAACATTTGCTCACCATAACACCACAACATTTAATTGTGTGGATTGCCAAATCTTTTCTTCCTAGATTGTCAAGAAGAGTTGTCGGATGCATAAAGAAATGTGTTTGTTTAAACAAATAAAAACATCTAAGGTTAGAGATAAACAATAACTAACTTGGAAATACGAAGATACAAATGATAATAAAAGTATTGTTAAACAATAACATTAACAAAAACAATTTAACTTATTTTTTAATGTAAAGAAAAATCCATGTGTGAGTCTAAATCATATATTGAGTAAGATTAAGAAAAATGAACAACATATAATCATAATTCAATGTTTTAAGGTTTTTGGTTGAAGATTATAATAATCCTTTATGTGAATTGAACTCATGTCTCATTAGTGTTATCTCTCCCTAGTGAATTCTTCACTCGAAAGACTAGTGGTATAGCAGTGATAATTTTTGTGGTGATTGACGAGTTTAAGAGTGATCCTTATAGCAAAAGTCTTCTTGACAGGAGGTTAGATAATGTTGAGAATATTATTTTTTTATCTTTTATTTAAATTAGGTATTAAAAGATTTTATTATCTATTAAGAGAGAAGATAAAAAGATATTATGTTATTATTTTGATTTAGGCAGTTATGATTGAGATATTATTAATATTTGATATTTTGTAGACCTTGGGTTGTAGACCTTGGCCCGCCATAATTTAGAAAAAAATAATTTATTTTTTAACATAATTTTTTTTAATAAATTTAATAATAAGATTATTATTTGTTTGTTAATAATTCAATATATATATATATATATATATATATATATATATATATATATATATATCACTAAAAAAAGCTTATTGGTAAAAATCCGTAGGTAATGCACTCGCTTGAAAAAAATATTTTTATTATTTCTTATATTTTTAAAACTTTGATTTAAGCAATTTTCAAGTGATAGGATTTGAACCCAATACCTTAGAGTTAGAGGCTGATACAATCATCACTAAGCTATTAGGATATTTCAATAATAACTTATAAATAAATTATATTTATATTTATCTGTGTAAATATATAAATATATAAATATATAAATATATAAATATATAAATATATAAATATATAAATATATAAATATATAAATATATAAATATAATTATATTTATATATTTATGTATTTATGTATTTATATATTTATGTATTTATATATTTATGTATTTCTATATTTATGTATTTCTATATTTATGTATTTCTATATTTATGCATTTATATATTTATGCATTTATATATTTATGCATTTATATATTTTCTATTTATATATTTATATATTTATATATTTATATATTTATATATTTATATATTTATATATTTATATATTTATATATTTATATATTTATATATTTATATATTTATATATTTATATATTTATATATTTATATATTTATATATTTATATATTTATATATTTATATCTTTATATATTTATATCTTTATATATTTATATCTTTATATATTTATATCTTTATATATTTATATCTTTATATATTTATATATTTATATATTTATATATTTATATATTTATATATTTATATATTTTATATTTATATATTTTATACTTATATATTTCATATTTATATATTTTATATTTATATATTTATACGAATAAATATAAATATAATTTATTTGTAAGTTATTATCAAAATATCTTAATAACTTAGTGGTTGGATTTTTATCCGTAGGTAATATTTTGTAGATAATAGGCTTTTTTTTTGTAGTATATATATATATATAACGTTAAAACTTATAATTTATATTTTTTATATTGAAAAATTCAAATACATATATCTTTTTTATTTGATAAAATTTCACATTATTATTGGTTGAGTAATTCTTACACTTTTAATTCAAGTCATGAGGATAAAAATCATCAATACTTAGGGTGAACAAGGAGAAATAGGAGAGAAGATTGTGTTTCGATAAGGAGAATAGGAGAGAAGATTGTGTTTTAGTAAGGAGAATATTTTCTATGAGAGTGAAACTTTTTTAATTCTCTTTTTAAAATTTTTAACTTTATATATTATCTTTATAATTAATTTTATTATAATAAAAATTATTTTTTTATTAATTAGGTGTGTCGTAGGCTGGTCCTCCCCATCCCGCGGGTTGGCCCGATGGGTTGACGGGCTTGGCAGGGCGGGCCAAAGCGGGCTAAAGCGGGCTGGAAATACCAACCCGCCCCTCCATATTATGGCGGGTTGGCGGGCTGGCCCGTTGGGCCTGACCCGTTTTGTCATCCCTACTATATATAGATAAAGTACATGAATAAAAAATATACTCACATGATATATCAAAAATACACATACACAAAACTCTAAAAATTTTCATTAATGGTATCAAAATTTTGGTTCGATACAATGAAAGGAGAAAGAAACTTTTCATAAGTCGCTATTCCAATTTTTTATGGCAAAAGTTATGACTTATGGGTTGTGAAAATGTAATCATATCTTAAAGAATTTGATGTATGGGAAGCTGTGGAAGAAGATTATATTGTTGATCCGCTACTTGAAAATCTCACCGTAGCTCAAATAAAATTTCATAAAAAAGAAAAATAAGGAAGGTAAAAGTTAAATCATGTTTGTTTTCTGGTGCTTCACAAATGATCCTCACCAGAATCATGACACTAAAGTCACCCAAAGAAATTTTGGATTATTTGAAAGATCAATATTAAGGGGACGAGAAAATTCGAGGTATGAAAGTTCTAAACTTGATAAGAAAATTTGATATACAAAAGATCTAAGAGTCTGAAACAATTAATGAATACTCAAACAAATTGTTGGGTATTGCTAACAAAATAAAATTGTTAGGCAAGAAATTTCTTGATTCTAGAATAGTTGAGAAAATCCTAGTAACTGTATCAGAGAGATATGAAACATCTATTACTTCATTGGAAAACACAAAGGATTTGTCTAATATTACTTTGGCAGAAGTGTTACATGTTTTACAAGC